CAGAACCTCTGGTTCTACCCAGTCACAGTCTCAATTTGAGGTAAATTCACATTGCCAGATGTCTCCTAAGCAGACTTATCCACCAGTCCACACCACTGGGGCCGGGATCCTGGGTTTAAACCCTGACACTGCATTTTTTAGGGGAGAAAAATGAGCCACTGTTGTTAAGAAGATTGAGAACAAACCCAGTTAGATATTAGTTATTTTCAACATGTTCACTTACATTCTATTTCCTGCCCAGTCCCCTGGTAATTGAACTATGTGAACATTCTTATTTTGTTAGTTCTCAGACTTGAATGCTTTAACTTTCCACTTCCTAATGCTTATTGTGCTTGTGGAGACCTCACTGCCCTCTTCCACTCCCAGTTACTATTTTGTGATAGTCCAGAATGGTTTCCTAGTTGCCTTTTTGTTTTCTTTCCTTAAAAGGGGAGTGAATCAGAGTTCCTGAGACACCCCCTCCAACATGGTCCTGAAGCCGGAAACAGTATCACCATGACTGGTGTGCTCTGAGGATGCAGGAGGCCTGTGAGTGGGCCCAAGTTCCTTAGCACCAAACACCTCACGGTGTCTTTGCGATCACTGTGCCGCTTCCTCCCTCTCCTCTCCTCACTCCTACTACCAGTTTATGAGCTATAGTAAGTCTTATACTATCCTAGAAAGAAAAGAAGCCTGGTAAGGAAAAAAAGTTTGGAAATGTTAAGAAAACATTGCTGAGAAGACCTTCCTTCTCCCCACCCTTGTGGGACGTCCTTCCTCGACTGAACTATAATTCCTTGAGCAGTTTGGTTCTTTGAGGTGGGTAGGAGGGCCTCTTCTGTCAGGGAATTAATAATAGAGTGATCTTTCTTTTATGTTTGCATACTTGATCAGAGTCCGTCTATTTATTTTCCTTTCCTAATCCACATCTACAGGAAAAGTGGTATTCCCTGTGCAGACGTCTCTCAGCACTTGAACTGTGTTAAGGCTGGGCCTGCCTGACTGTTAGGTGCCACGGGCAGTATTCCTTTTCCTCTTTGCTTTCTTTTCTTCTTTCAAGTTTTCAAATGAAAATAGGTTGCTATATGTACGAGAAGAGAGCCTTCCTTAACTGTGGCACACGTGGCTGGCTGCTGCCACCCGATATTGATTTAACGGATCCATCCTGATGCAGTGTTAGTGAAGCGGAGCGGCCCTCTTCGAGCACAGCCAACTGCTCACCAGGAAGGCAGTTCCTATTTGTTGAGTGATGTCAGCATGCCCGACCCTGGCGAGATCCTGGTATTGTTACTAGGTGTGGGTGAGCACAGGACTGGAAGTGAGGTGCAGCTAAGTCATGGTCTGAGACACAGAGTGGACAGGGGACAGGGACCACTGAGCCATGCATGGGAACAGCTCTGCTGCGTTTAGGTCCCAGCTTTCTTCCTCTTGTAGCTGCTGGAAGCTGCTCATTTTCTCCCTGGACAGCCTATCCCAGGCAGTTGTATGGCCGTGAGGGCTCTCTTCCTGGTCTGCAGGAGTGGGAGGGATATTAGTAATTTTGTTCCTGTGTGTTTTCAATTCTGAGAGGTCATTTGAAGAACTGGGGCATGAGAGCAACATAGGATGTCTAGTCTGGGAAGAAGAAAGGGAAAGCGCAATAGGAGCTAGGAAGAGAGCATGGTGCCCAAGGCGGTGGGTGCGGGGTGGGGTCTAGTTGAGGAAAGTTTCACATTCATTGGGCTATAATTTGGCTAGATTCAAAAGATCCCAGGACAATAAAGAAATATGGGTAATGCTACAAAAGAAATGGCCCTGCGAATTCTGTCTTGGAGCAGATAACTTGTAAGTCCTTGAAAATGACTGAAAATGTTCAGGTGTGATGTACAAAAGATTGTCAGATTCGTTTCCAGATATTGAACAGGAATTTAGATCTTGAGTTTTGACTGAGATGGTTTTTCTTTTTTATCAAAAGACGTCTACCCTTGAAACATTGGGGAAATGGTGGCAAGGAAAACTTCCATCCTTTTCCTGTTGCCTTTAATCTTCACCTTCTTGCCTTTCTTTTGGGAAATAAATAAGGGGTGTTTCATTTTAGGGATAACCTGGGAAAATTTTTGAAAATGTTGATGCCTTGCTGAATCACCTTGTGTTTTCTAAATAAGCCCTAGAGTTGTTCTAAGAAGTTATAATCGTAACACAGAAGGGTACCTTACTTAAGAAAATAATTATTTATGTCATCGCCATGAATCAGACTACCATTGTTGCCACAGACTGATTCTGCATTAATTGGAAAAGTTTGCCAGTAATTTTCTCCAGCAATTTCTAAGAGTTCACTTTATATTTGGAAGCTTAATAAAAATAGTTACTATGGGTCTTAGCCTAGAAATTCTTTTAGTGTTACTGTAGAAACCAGCATTAAAAATTGTGGATTGATCTATTGCAAACTACAACACCCTAAAGGAAAGAGTGAGCAAAAGGGAATGCCCTGCCACTGAGGCAGGGTGGGTTGGGGGATGAGGTGTGGAGGTGGGAGGGCTACTAGGATCATTGGTGGTGGAGAATGGGCACTGGTGGAGGGAGGGTACTCGATTATATTATAACTGAAACTCAAGCATGTTTGTAAGTCTACAACTGTACCTCATGATGTTTCACTCATAAAATAAATAAATAAATAAAAATTGTGGATTGATAAAGAAAAAATAATTGGTGCTAAATATCAGTAAAATACATAAGAAATAATTTTTTAAAAATCAATATTACTCAGATGTTTATAATATTTGTTTATTGAATAAGTTTAGCTAACATGGTTCTGAAATAATCATAGCATTGAAATCTTTATGAACAATTTTTCTGTAACACACTATAGAAAATACTTCCCAAATCATTCAAAAAATGTTTCAAAATTTATCAAGACAAAACCCCTGTAGCTCCACTGGCTATTCTGTTAGGATAGCAGAGAGGCACAATGAGTTCTAGGTAGTTTCTTGGGCGTGTGCATCCTTCAAGTCACTCCAAATTGTATTAGGAGCTGGTTGTCCTTGCTGAGAAACCTCTTGATTAAATTGTTTCCTCTGACTTGGAGAAAGACACAGAGCAGAAGGCGGTTGTAGTTGAATCTAACCTGGGAGCCCCAAATCACAGAGTTTGTGATGAAGCTGGGGTCTGTTACTTTTCTGTTTTTCTTAGAGGTGACTAATCTGGGAAGCAGTGAAGAGAGAGGAGGCTCAGGGAAATGTAGCAACCAGACCCAGGAAAGACAGTTAATTAAACCTCTGGGTCCTGGGAGTGTGGCCACTGGGATTAGCCGTCGCTGTTGGTGCCTTGCGCCCCTCCATCCGCCCTCCCCCCCACCGCCACTACACAAACACTGCTTTCCCTGGCTTTTTCCCTTGTGGTGGCAGCATCTAGAGGGTTACACACACTTGGCTGTGGTGTGCCGGAAATTGCACTTGTAGCTCTGGGGATCTGGATGACTTTCCTCTGGGACTGCTCTGGGATTGCATTCAGGTGGGAAGGGAAGGTGCTGCAGTGTGTGAATATGCATCCCCCTGCCTGCAAGACAGCTGCTGCACCACTAAACCAAATCTCTGTGGCCTTCCTAGTGATGCTTTTTAAAGTTCTATTTCTGTAGTCTACTTTCAGCATGCTTCTCCCATCCTGGGAGGATCCTCCCAACACGCAAAAGGAGAGAGAAAACAGGGGAATGCCCTGCCACAGAGGCAGGGTGGGATGGGGGGAGTGGGGGGTGGGAAGGATACTGGGATCCGTGGTGATGGGAAATGGGCACTGGTGGAGGGGTGGAGGGATGGGTATTTGATCATTGTATAATTGAAACCCAAGCACAGAATTTCTATGTCTACAACTGTACCTCATGGTGTCTCACTAATAAAAATTTTTAAAATAAATAAATAAAATAAAGTTCTATTTCTGTTTCTGTTTCTTTGAAAAGATGTTGCAGCCTTTGTGACCAGCTTCTTTGGTCATTAGAATTTGCTACGGCCCATGGCAGAATCAGGCTGGGGCTGTAGGAAACCCTAGAGGGCATTTATTTCACTGACTCTTGGGAGAAATAGCCCCAAAGAAATTAAGATATTGTGAGCCACGTGTTCCTCAGAAATGACATTGTCGGGATGACACGATGGGATACAAGACTCAGATGCTTTTCTTGGGTTTTGTTTTGGTTTTGATTAGACTTATACTTAGAAATGCTTAGTGACTACTCCTACACTTACACTCGGTATTGCTCTGCTTGATACTCAGGGGATTGTGTGATGCCAGGAACTGAATCCAGGCTGTGTGCAAAACTTGTTATGTAGGCCCTTGAGCTATATTCCTGACCAGCTTTCTGTCTTTGTACTCGGACTTGCACCTAGTTTTTCAACTGTCTCCTGCTACTTTACATAAATTTTCTTTCATAAAATGTTTTAATCAGGGTGGTAACTGCCCTGTAGTGCCAGCAATGACTAATTAAACTGTACTTTACTAATTTTTAAATGATATCCATTTTTGTCCAAAAAAAGCAAAAAAAAAATTGTGCTGTTACAAAATGTAATGCTACAAAATAAGTAATATTGAAATTTTTGTGGTTTGGTAAAAGCTTTTGTGAAGTTGTAAAATTAGCCTAGTACAAAGGTATTATTTTATGAACACAATACTATATTTGCAGCCAAATCTGAAGGGCTTGTACATATAAAACATATGATGAATGTAGGGTTTTCAAAGGTGCTCCCTTTAGGAGACCTGGGACTACACCAGCATTTAGTGGCCAACAGGCCATGAGTTCAAATGTAAGGACTGAGGATGCAATGCTGCTGGGCCCTGAGCTGCTGGGGTCCTTCAGGGCATACCTGGCATTGCTTGAGGGCCTTCAGGGCTGAACCCTTTGATGCTTGGGGACCAGATGGTGCCAGGGTCAGACACATGTTAGGCACGAGCCCTATTTTCTGGCCTAGTGAATAGAATTCACAGGGATGTATTTACAATGTCATCCAGCAGGTTCAAGTTTTGGAGAGATGTTTTTCTGTTCTGCTCTTCTGCAGAAGGACAGACCTACCAGGACAACATGAAGAGTGCAGCCAAGCCCTGGAGCCCTGTCATCAAGGCGGGGAGCCATGCCACAGACCGCACACGGCCTCTTCCTACAGTTTCTTCTGGCATGAAGACTTCTAAATCTTCAACCTCATTGGCCTTTGAATCTCGGCTGAGCAAGGTAAAGATCATAATACATAGGGCCATTGCCTTTGGTGACCACATTTAGGAAGATTGCCAGTGTGGAAAACTAGTGACCACACAAGATGGAAAGGAGGTTGCAAGGAGGGTGGGAGAAAAAGCTAACTTGGACTTAAAGTAGCAAAACAAGTATAGGAGGGACTTCCTGTAGTTTGAAAACTGTACCTCATGGTGTCTCACTAATAAAAATTTAAAAAAATATATTAAGTGGAGTAACTAAGATCTTTTGCCTGGAATTCCTTGATCTTCAACCAGATTCTCAGCTGTACCCACTATACAGGTGTCAAGATCAGTTTAACTAGTAGATCTGTTTGATTAGTAGACCAGTTGTGCATTTTCTGCAGCATAAATCCTCACTGGTTATTCTTTTGGCTTGGAGTCTCTTCCCTTTCTCCATGAATCCCTTGAGGTCAGTAGGACAGTCTCTATCTCCTCTCTGGGTTTCTAACTTAGTGGGCCTGGGGCACAAATTTTAGGTCTCATCTTCTTTGTTTTAAAATTAAGATAATATTATACTTTCCCATTTTAGCAGCACGGTTTACAAAGTTATTCATGGTGATTTGTCATAGACATTCAATATCCCAACACTAACCTCACTTCCTCTGCCGCTTCCCTCCACCATTGTCTCCATTTTCCCAACCACCTTCCAAGCCTCCCCCTGTGTCATGCCCACAGTCATTTACTTTATATTGCTTATTACCTACTAATGGCTAACAGAATGATAAAAAATATTTCCATAGAAGAAAATTTGTGAAATTTGTTGTATCTCATCATGGGGACATTAAGTCCTTGTGCGAGGGTTTACTAAGCTGTTGTTGCAAGTTAAGCTTCTGTGTTCATGCTTCTGTTAGTTGGGATTGTTACGTTCCTGTCCAATCTGGTGTGCTCCTACAGGGATACCAGTGTTCTAGAGTTTGAAGATTTCATATGGAAATTAATGTGACCACGTGCTCCAGAAAATCCAGGATATTTAACTGGGCAGTTTAGCCAAAGGCATGGCGGCAATTTTGGGCATGAGTGCAGCTGTTGAGGCTTTAGTAGGACAGGAGCTGGCTCACTCTCCTCCTGACAGGGCTCTGTTTGGGAATGGGCATCCAAGAAACTTTTGCATCTAGAACAAGGTTGTCGGTAAATGAGCTTACCTGGTGGTAGTGGGACCTGGATGTGGCTGCCAGGGCCTCTGAAGCATGGGGATGTGAGGAGAAGTCACCCATCCTGGTTCCAAGAGGGCCTGGAGTTTTCAGCCCCAAACCCCCATATACCTGAAATTTTTGGCAGATTAGAAACTTTATGGAGCTCAGTGCTGAAGTGGTGGGCCAGAGGCATGGTAGTGGCTTTGGAGTATGTGGAATAATAACATTTTTATAAAGTTTTACAGTTTATCACCTCAGGAACTATGTATGCAACATACCCACCACCAAAAGGCTTATCTTTGTGTCTTGTTACCGTGTCGCACCACAGCCCTCTTTGTCACTCTAATATAAATGTCAGAGACAGCAGAGTTGAAGATGTAGCTCATTAGTGGAACTAATTAGTAGACCTGCATCTGTAAGGCCAAGATTTGACTCTGAAGCACAGCACCAGCACTGTTGGATGTGCCTCTCCCACAAATTCAAAAACAGTAAAACCTAACTATGTACATATTTGAAAAATCAACGTAACACTTCAACTACAAAAGAAAAAAGGAAGTAAAAAAATTCACACTAAATAATCTATATCTTTGTCTCTATTGTTAAGGGGCAGAGATGTTCCTTGGAGCACTAAGGATATGACAGTTACATTGGGACTGGATCTAAGTTGTCATGTCAGTGACTCGGTGACAACTAATATGACCCAGTTGTCATGTTAATGATATTGAGGGAGTGATGTGACTATTACAAAATGATGAATATTCTCAATAAAGTTCTGAACCAAAGTATAGTCTTTCCTGCTTATTCTTGGTATATCATATATACATTTACCCTCTGTCTTTCTCTTTCCTCTCTTGTTATTATTATTTCAAAACCATACACACATACACAAAACACCCCCCCCCACACATACACACCTAGCTGTGGTGCTTGCATATTTATTTATTTATTTTTAAAAATAATGTAGGAGTACTGCTATTTGTTCAGCCATTTATTAAGCTGATTAATTGGGCATGAACTGCACATTACTTTTTTTTTTATTTTATTGTATCACCGTGAGATAGAGTTACAAAACTTTCATGTTTGAGATTCAGCCATACAATTATGAAACACCAACCCTTCACCACTGCATATTTTTCACCACCAATGTCCCAAGTATCACCCTACACACACACACACACACACACACACACACATCGCAGTCCTCACCCTGCGTCTATGGCAGACAATTTCCCCAATACTCTAATTTGGGGCATTAATTTTGCTTGAATTTTCTCATTACCATTCAAGCCTACCTGCCAGGGGCAGATGCTAGATAGTATATTTTTCATAGCTCATTTCAAATATCATGAGAACTTGCATGGCCGCGATTGTAAAGGTAAATTTCTAGATTGTAAATGGTTGGGTTCCAGAGACATCTCTATATAGCACTAATCCCTTTTGGGATTCAATTGGGAGTCTCTGGGCCAGGGCTGTTGGTGTGCTAAGATGGCGTCCAGAGGCAAATTGTGGGCATCACAGCCAGTCTTCTGGGCAAGTGGTGACCCGGGGAAGGACAGCCCAGGTCCTCTGCCACCATGCGGCCTGGAGATTTAGTCCTGAATCCGCATACTTGGGCCTTGCTTGTGGAAGCTCTTGGTCACCAGGATTCCATCTGGAGTAAGCGGGGAGACTGCACTTGTTCCATCTGAAGTGTCCTGGTGATATTGGCTCGGTATGGGGCCTGGAGGGATCTCTGGCGCTGTGGTGTCTTCTGGGACTTGCTGCTGTGTCTCTGGACCAGGGCTGTTGGTGTGCTACAATGGTGCCCAAAGGGTAATTGTGGGCATGACAGCCAGTCTTCTGAGCAGGCCGGGACCCGGGAAGGGATAGCCCAGGTCCTCTGCTGCCATGTGGCCTGGAGATTTAGTTCTGAACCTGCGTTCATGGGCCTTGCTTGTGGAAGCTCTTAGTTACTGGGATTCCTTCTAGAGTAAGCGGGGAGACTGCATCTGCTCCATCTGGGGGGCCCCGGTGATATTGGCTTGGTATGGGGCCTGGAGGGACCACATGCTGCTGTGTCTCTGGGTCAGGGCTGTTTGTGCACTAAGATCCACATTACAGAATTTTCAGCAGATTATATCTTGGTGAGGTCCATCCTGAGACAGTGAAACCAGGCTTGGAGTATGGCAGCAATTTTGGATTGTAGAAGCAAGTGGCTGCCAGGGACTCTGCTTGGATGGGCACAGGCCAACCCGCCCCCTCCAATTTACTCTGGTCTGTTCAGCCATGTATGGATCTGAGCTTAACTGTGGCTTTTGATCTCTTCCGAGATTTATTTAGGGCTCTCTGAGGCAAGGCCAACAGTACAGCTTACAGGGTGGCGCTGGAGTTGTTTCAAGGGGATGACTGCCAGTGCTTCCATGTGTATTGGGAAGTGGGGGAGGTAGCCCAACCCAACTCTGAGTGAGCTTGTGTAGCTGAGCTGGGGGTGGTTTGTGAGTGTGACTTCCACAGACCTAACTTTTGGCCATTTAATTTCTTGGTAAACTTGTTCCCAAGTAGTCGGGGTCTTGCTAAAGGCATAGTGGCAATTTTGGAGTATCAGGAAGCCTGAAGGCAACTCAGGCTGCTGATGCACTTGCCCCGCAGGTACAGGTTGACCTGTTAGCAGCACCTTACCCCCTGCTATTATATTTAGTGATGGTGCTTACTGAAAGTCAGGTAGAGGTGCTCAGATATTTAGCCCTGGTACTGCAGGGGTGGGGCTGCAGTCCTTTATTTGTAGTGCTTGCACCGTGCCTATTGTGGCTCACATGCCTTTCTTTGTGCTCACAGACATCCTTGTGGTGCTCACTACAGCTCACAATTCCTGCCATGGCACTTTTTTTAGTTTTGGTTTGGTTTGATTTTGGGGAAACATCCTGCAGTGCTCAGAGAACAGGGTGGTGTAGGGGATTGAATCCAAGACCCCCGCTCGCAAAGCATGTTTCCCACTCCATAAAGCCATCTTGTTGGACCTCACATCTTCCTTAGTTGTAGTGCTCTCCGGGGGCTGTACCTCCTTAAGTAGCAGAACTTGCATATACCTGGCAGTAGCATAGTTAAAATGGCTTGCAGGGCTGTGGCAGTAATAAATGTGTACTTCACTTGCCTTAAAGATGGTTGACCTGAGTTTGATCCCCAGCATCCCATATGGTCTCCCAAGCACTGCCAGGGTTAATTCATGAGCGCAGAGCCAGGAATAGCCCTGAGTATCGCCAGGGTTAATGCCTGAGAGCAGAGCCAGGAGTAGCCCTGGTTGAGCATGACTGGCAGTGTTAGTGCTCATGGACAAGGCTTTCAGGCACAAGCATCACAGCCACCGGATTCTTGTACAGTGCATGTGACAACACCAGGGACTGAACCTGAGAGTTCACACCTGCAAGACGTTCTGTAAGCCACAGAACAATTGTTTCCAGTCTCCCTAAAAGTGTAGTAAATACTAAAACTGCAAGAAATTCTTGGTAAAATTTTATTTTATTTTATTTTTATAAAGTTGTTCATAACGATTTATTGCATTCAATATACCAACACCAATCCCACCACCATACACCTTCCCACCATCATTATTTCCAATTTTCCCAAACACCACCCAAGCCTGCCCCAATAGCAGGCCTTATATAATTTATTTTGTATTGCTTATTATGGGCTGGAGAGATAGCACAGCGGTAGGACATTTGCCTTGCACACAGCCAACATAGCCGGTCTGAGTTCGATTCCTCCGCCCCTCTCAGAGAGCCTGGCAAGCTACTGAGAGTATCTCGCCCGCACGGCAGAGCCTGGCAAGCTACCCGTATTCGATATGCCAAACACAGTAACAACAAAGTCT